TCTAACTCGCAATTTCACAATTCGGTCTCTGAAAAATATTTACCCCACTGCCATGAAAAAAAGAGAATAGATGCACTCATTCCAGAGAAACCCACCCTATTAGTACATGGAGCTCCAATGGAGATCCTTCTATATAGTTTATTTACCAATGTCTTAAGATTTCTTATTCCAGAACAAAAAAGAAAAATTACCCATAAATATTTGAGAGCTGGTTTTTTTTTCCCCCAAAGAGCATTACTGGTACATGCATTCTATGCAGATCAATAAGCTACCATTACATTATAATGTATTAAGTTACAGTAAGGTAAGTGCTTGGAAGCAAACCACCTTTCCTCAAGACAAATTCACTACTTCTGAATCCCCAAACTGATTGAAGAAAAAAAAAAAAGAGGCAGTATTAAAAAAAAAAAAACACTAGAATTTAGCTTCTATTTTAAAAGGGTTTCTTTAAGAAATCTCATTTTCTAGAAGACAGTCATTTCTGAACTGTTCAGTACAATGGACATGTTTACACAATTCATGAGGCATCAACTCCATATAAATTTATTTAAATTTCGTAATTTAATCTGCACATTGAGAATGCCAATCCCATCGTGAAAAGTTCAGCATCTCCATGGTCTTTCACATTGCTTTATCTCTGCCACCTAAGGAGGTGGATGCAAAACTGCACAAACTGACCATTCACAAAGTCACAGAAACAAAAGCTGGAAGGAACTGGGACAGCACAGGAAGCTGAGTCCCTGCCTTCCAGGTATAGCCTACACCATATATTCTTGCAGTTCTTTTAAGATTCTTCTACTGTTTCATGATTAAACCATTCAGTCAAAGGGGCTTCCTTCAATATATCTTTTAATGCAGCCACTGAGGACCACTCATTTTTGTCCCCACCCCACCTCATGCCACATCTGGTAATGTCTGGAGACTTATTACCTGACATAACAGGGGTGGAAAGGCACCTCACAGGCCGGGAAAAGAAGCTGTTAAATGTTCTACAATGCACAAGAGCCCAAGAGTCATCCCTCCCCCCCCCCCAAACCAAGAGTGAGCCAGCCCAAATGTCAACAGTGCAGAGGCTGAGAAACCCTGCTTTAACAAAACCCAACCAAAGGCATCCACAGCTTCCAGCCTGTCAGCTCCACAAAGATGATTTTTACAGCTCCAACTAGAAACTTCTGACTTCAAAAGGAGAGAACCAGAGCACAATCCGGTGGGTGGTGAAGACAGTGATGGTTCAAGACACACATAAGCAGAAGCAGACATTTCCAGATGTGCAGGTAAGGTTTTCTCCCCACCCCACCACCACCCAGAAACTTCTGCTACTGAACCTCACAAATTACCCTTTCCACGTCCATATTTCTCTTCCACTCCCCACTACAGAGGTTTCTAGGGGAAACCCAGTTTGTAGTGTTTCTGATTTTTTTTCTGCATGGGTATTAAAAATAATATGAAAAGCTCATCATAAGACAGGAAAATAGTCAATAACCTAAGGTGTTTTCTATCCTAGAGAATAATTTAGCAGGACCTAAGAGGTTTGTGAATGAATCATTTCCTTGAAACTTGAAAAGAGATGAGCAGTTTAAAGGACAGCCTCATGAATAAATAAACATCTAAAGTGAAATAATCATCAAAAGAAAATGTGCACACAGTTATGTACATAACTGCACAGATCTATCTGAGAAAAGACAGGGAGCTGAACGTGCTACCTTAGAACTGTACCTGACAGAAAAATGTATACTGACATGCTAAAAAGTAGAATTTATGTTTTTTACATATCTTACAAGACTCAGGAACTTTAAAACTCCTAATAGGAAAAAAAATTAATCTTAATGAAAAGCAAATTTCAGGCTTCAGAAACCTGAGGGATCAATATGGAATTGATTGGTAACTTATGGCCCATCCACATTTGAGACACCATTCAACAGCACACTGAAGAACAGGTATCGGCATGGACAGAGGCTCACCATACCATGAGTGAAGACAAGTTACAATCAATATACACAGGATATCCACTCTGTGTTTATAAATGAATAAACACAAAGGTACACCAATAGGGACATGAGATTTACTAAAATATTAACAATGGTTATCCTTGGAGAGGGAAGGTTATGGCCAATTCCTCTTCTCCATTTGTGCTTTTTACTATTTTCCAACTATTCTCCAATAAGAATACTTTGTCATGTTTTGTGCTTACAAAACTAATAGGTTATTACAAATTTACACTCTATTATTTCAGGCATTGTCTACAAAAGAAGAAAACAGCCCCAATGAATGTTCCAAAAGAAAACTGCCTTCCACAAAAGCAAGCACTTACTGAGCATTATTATTCTGTGGCCGACCCTTTCCTAAGCAGTTTAATGTACTCACTGATTTAAACCAAACCAACCGGCTGAGGGATAAAATAAGCCTTGGAAAAACAGCAAACGCCTTTGTGCTTGGTTCCTGCAACCAACTCCTATATCCCGTTACATAGTTTGAAATAAAATGGTTTGATAAAATTACCTTAATATTCCTCAAGGATAAACTGAGATTTCACATGGAAAAGAATTCTGCCAAGTGCAGCGTTTACAAGTAAGAAAGCCTCCAATGGCTTTTGAGTTGGCAGCTGGGCACTGTTTCAAAAACACAAAACTTACTACAAAGAAACACAACTGTCTCTGAACATCATTCTTAATATTTCTTTCTACTCACATTTCCCATCACATTAAAAAAAAAAAAGGAGAAACCACTGGACACCAGTGCCTCAAGTCTGTGGTCCTACTCAGAGTCTGGGAACTGGAGGATGGCGATTTTATGGAGATTTAAATCCACCCCAGGCAGACACATTTGTGAGACTTTTAATTCCAATTAAAAAGCTGGAGATGGTGATGTTGGTGTTCAAACCCCAGAAATAGCACATACACAAAAAAGAGGGTGGAGGAGTGGGAATCTACGTGTTTACATACAAACAGGGACAGTGCTGACCAAAGTGAAATGAGGGCGATGCTACTGTAGGTAAAAGGATGTAGGTAAGAGAAGTTGTGGGTGTGGAAAACGCTGCAAATCAGTAATAAAACCAGAGGAAACTAGCGTGAGGTATATTTTAGTCGTGTTTAGGGGACAAGGACTGCTCCAAGGACCATCATTTCAGTGTCTTGTGATTAAAGGGTTCTGAGGATGGATTCCAGGGATCCAGCCAAAAGCGGTCCACGTCTCAAGTACACCCCAAAACCACCATGCAGCGACAGGAACCTCACTTGTCAGAGGAAATTCAGCTGCGTAGCTGGGGAAAAGCGGCTTCCAGGCTGGCTGAGGGGTCGTTCGCCCGACGTCCGGACCTGACCCAAGCCTGGTCTCAAGGGGGTCTGGGGTGGAGGCTGGGGTCGGTGGTCCGCGGGACGGCCGGGAGAAATCTCGGGGGTCGGGGGACGCTGGCCGGTTTGGTTTACTTCTGTCCCACGGCCACCCGCAGAACGAGGTTCACGGACGGCTTCGGCGACGCCCCGCGCCGTGCAAACACCAGCGAGTGTCACACACATGCACGCGCGCGCAGACACACAGTGGGTCTACGGCCACACGGGGCGGGGGAGGGGGGGCGGTTCCCAGCTTCCGACCGCCCGAAAACTATCCCGGAAACACAAAAGACACAGGGGAAGTCGAGGCACCCGTGCGG